AGAACCTCCAGAGGTGTCAGTGGTATCCACCTGTGAACTCTGCCTGTCCTGTCACGGCTATGGAGGCCGTCTGCGAATCCTCGTCCTGTCCTGTCACGGCTATGGAGGCCGTCAGCGAATCCTCTGCTTGTCCTGTCACGGCTATGGAGGCCGTCTGCGAATCCTCGTCCTGTCCTGTCACGGCTATGGAGGCCGTCAGCGAATCCTCGTCCTGTCCTGTCACGGCTATGGAGGCCGTCTGCGAATCCTGGTCCTGTCCAGTCACGGCTATGGAGGCCATCTGCGAACTCTTAGCCTGTCCCGTCACGGTTGTGGAGGCCGTCTGTGAACTCTCTGTCCATCCTGTCGGGGCTGTGGAGGCCGTCTATGAACTCCCTGTTTGTCCTGTCACGGCTATGGAAGCCGTTTACGAACTATTGTCTCGTCCTAAACTGGCCAAGGAGGCCGTTTGCAAACTATTGCCCTGTCTCAACCCAGCTGAAGAAGCTGTTTCTGAACTCTCAGCTTTGTCTGTCACACCTGAAGATGCTGTCTGTGAACTTCCTGACTGTTCTGCTGCGGCTACAAGGACCGTTCAGGAACTCTCTGTCTGTCACTGCCATGAAAACCTTTAATGAACTCCCTGTATGCCCTGTTAGCCCTGTCACGAGTCCAGAAACCACTTGTGAACATTCTGTCTGTCCTATCCATGAGACTAACTGTGAACTGTCAACTTGTTCAGTGTTCCAGCGTGTGTTTGATTTCCCTGTCTGTCAAGAACCAGTCAATAATGCTTTCAGTCAGGGAGCCGAACCATGAACTATCTGCCCGTTCTGTTTCCCTGAATATGTCTGAGTTTGAGCCATCTGTCTGTCCAATTTCAAGTAATGTGTCTGAACTTTCTGTCAGTCCTGTTCTGGTCAATGAGTCCGTTGAATCATCTGTTGGTCCAGTCCCCATTAATGAGTCTGACTGTGAATTGTCTGCCGGTCTAGTTTCACTCACTGAGATGTCTAACTATCTGGTTTCTGCTAGCGATAAGTCTGATTGCGAACCTTGTGTCAATCCAGCATCTGTCATTGAGTCTGATTTTGAATCATCTGTCCTATGTTGATTAATGAGCCTGAGTCTGACATGTCAACCAGTCTAGTTTTGTGGTGGCTTCTGCCGGTGCTGTGAGGAATCATTCTCAAAGTCTTGGGGTTTTGATGCCAGAAGAGATTTTATTGTCAGACAATAAAATCGAGAGAACTCTGCAGAGCAATCTCTAGAGTCTGTGTCTGTACTCTCTTTTATACAGCGTTTCCCGAAGGCGTGCCCATGTTCAATACATTTCATACATATGGTTATTGTTTATCAACTCTTTTACCTCTTTTGGCTGTGTCTCCAGCCTGCCACCCAGAAGCAGACAGGAGGCCCCAATTTATGTTCCATGACTAAAGAGGCCCCATCATATATTTTGTCTAATGTCCAAATAGGATGTGCAGCTTCACCATATACTACAGTTTTGTAATGTCTGCACATTCCATTCTCATGCAGGCCTCTACACACAGGCAAATACATGATTATAATAGTAGAATAACTTGATGCATAAATGGCTAGATTCACATTGATTATACTTGATTAGTTCATATTTTGATTAATAAAAATCTTCCACAGTTTCAGTCAATACATACAGTTTTGAACCATCTGTTTGTCTAACTACCTGAGTGTGAACTGTCTGCCTGTCCAGTTCCAGTCAATAAATCTAGTTGTGAACTGTCAACGCAACCAGTATTTGCCAAAGACTCCAATGATGAACTTTCTGCTTGTTCGATTGTCACCAGAGAAAACCTTGAGCTTTTTGTGTTAGATTATTGGCTTATTTCTAGTGAACTATGTAAAAATGTCACAGAATATAAAATTTCAGCTGCCCTGCTTACAGATCACTGTATGGTTACTCTGTCCTTATCAGTCTTTAAGAAACCTCAGATCTCTCCTAATATTTGAAAGTTTAATAATGACTTGTTAAAGCGTAAAACTTTCAAACTTGTTATTTAATGACTTGTTTTTATCAAACCCATCTTTTCATCACAATTTCACCATCCAAATAGGCATATCAACCATAACTCCTTCAAATACAGCCAGAAACCTTGGAGTTATGATTGATGATCAGCTGACTTTCTCAGACCACATTGCTAAAACTATCCAGTCCTGCAGATTTGCTTTATTCAACATCAAGAAGATCAGGCCCTTTCTTTCGGAACATGCTTCACAACTCCTTGTTCAAGCTCTTGTTCTGTCCAGGCTGGACTATTGCAATGCTCTCTTGGCAGGTCTTCCAGCCAGTTCTATAAAACCTTTACAATTAATCCAGAACGCGGCAGCAAGTTAAATTTTGAATGAGCCAAAAAGAATGCACGTCACACCTCTGTTTATCAATTTGCACTGGCTACAAATAGCTGCACATCCCAAAGAGGCACAAAATCCAAATAGGATGTGCAACTTCACCATGTACTACAGTTTTGTAATGTCTGCACATTCCATTCTCATGCAGGCCTCTACACACAGGCAAATACATGATTATAATAGTAGAATAACTTGATACATGGCTAGATTCACATTGATTATACTTGATTAGTTCATATTTTGATTAATACAAATCTTCCACAGTTTCAGTCAATACATACAGTTTTGAACCATCTGTTTGTCTAACTACCATTAAGGGA